CGTTACTATATCGGAATTAAACGTAATTTATACTGATAATATCTCGGGATATTACAATTCATGCTCTCTTTGTCTCATTGCCATCAAAGTAAGATATGTTTTTTTTTCCTGAGAGACAGAGCTGGAGTATTGGTTCAATAACTTCTCTGTGAAATCCCCGAAATCTCTGATCGACCCTGGGGGAAGTTGGTTAAACCAATCCAAGGCCCCTCCCCTTGGAGTCGACAAGAACGCTCTACAACTTACGGCCTCTGAGTACCCATGCAAAACTACCATGTTCTAAAATGTTCGAACGTATCGCGATGGGTCTGTTGTTCCGTCAAACACCAAATGAGTTTCCTTGAAATTCCCTGGCAGTGGTGCATCCAGGATGCGGGTTGAGAAAGGATCCCCTCGAATCCGTCCAGATGGTCGACCATCAACTCTTCTTGCAGTTTCCTCACTTGCTCGACCAATCTTTCTATTTCCCCTCCACGAGGAAGCGCTTCCCTACGGCTAGACGCATTATCTTCGTTGACTTCACTCATTGTTGTTGGAGCAGCCGTTTCTTGAGATTGACTAGCTGTCACCTGCCGCACCGCTCGAGCAGTACCGTTGGCTATCATCTGCTCCAACTGCTCTCTGGTCAAAGTTACTACTTGTTGCCCTGGGGGCCGTTTTGCCACCAGCGGTGGTACAGGTTGTGCCACAACTCCTTCATTTGGTGCTACCACCAGGATTACTTGGGGTGGTGGCTCGATCGCCCCATCTTGTTCCCTATTTTCCGGAAGTATTACCGGATCCTTTCCACCTTGAGTCACAGTCGTCGGATCTCCTCCACCTTGGGTTACAGTCGCCGGATCTCCTCCACCTTAGGTTAAAGTCGCCGGGTTTCCTCCACCTTGGTCACAATCGTCGAGTTTTCTCCACCTTGGGTCACAGTCGCCGGGTTTCCTCCACCCTGAACCACAGTTGGCCAGCTTCCCGGTGTCTGTGATGTTCCGACAAAACTTGGGGGTAGGCCCTCCCCTATTAACCTTGTTTCTACCCACGCATTGTCAAATGATGACTGCAAATTTTTCCTTGGGATTCTGTTCGTCATAGCTCCAGATTTCGTAAAACAAAAGCTTTTTGATCTAGTCCCACAAACGGCGCCAAAATGGTATGAAAATAATACCTTAACCGGCTAAACTCCTTAGGATCCTGTCCTTCTCACCGATTAATCGTTCCGAGCACCTGCAAAAAAGCCTAGACCGGAGGGGAAAGGTCTCCGGCTCGGCCCTCCGTTATTTGGATGGTATCAGAAAGTATTCTTACAGAATTATTAT